TTTCTTTCTTTCTTTCTTTTTTTTTTTTTTTTTAAGACAGAGTCTCAAGCTGTCCCCCTGTGTAGAGTGCTGTGGCATCACAGCTCACAACAACCTCCAACTCCTGGGCTCAAGCAAGTCTCCTGCCTCAGCTTCCCAAGTAGCTGGGATCACAGGCGCCCACCACAATGCCGGCTATTTTTTCTTTTTTGGTTGCAGCCGTCATTGTTGTTTTGTGGGCCCGGGCTGTATTCAAACCCACCACCCTAGGGCCATACTTAAACCCACCCTTGAGCCACAGGCACTGAACCAGAGGAGGACTTTCAACAGAAAAGTTATTTATTTATTTTGAGGCAGAGTCTCACTTTGTTGCCCTGGATAGAGTACCGGCATTGCTCACAGCAACCTCAAACTCTTGGGCTCAAGTGATCCTCTTGCTTCAGCCTCCTGAGTAGCTGGGACTATAGGCGCCTTCCACAATGCCCAGGTATTTTTAGAGATAGTCTCACTCTTTTTGCTCAGGCTGGTCTTGAACTCCTAAGCTCAGGCAATCTATCTGCCTTGGCCTCCCAGAGTGCCAAGATTACAGGTGAGCCACTATGCTCAGCCCTGCATGACATTTAAACATTAATGAAAAAGTTTGGATTTTTACAAGGAGCATGAATTTTCCAGTTGGGTGAAAAAAAAAAAAGTACAGGCAAAATGGTTATTACTTTTTCTTTCCATTCCCCATGTTCACTCTCCCCTCTTCTATCTTCTGTCCGCTTTAGTTCATATGTGCACCCCCTTTGCTGCTAGCTTCTTAGAATAGCCTCTTTTCCATTCACCACCATTGGGTAGTAGGGTATGGAGTGAAAACTAATGCCAACATTTTGCTGGACGTATCTGAATTGGCACAAACAGCCTTTTGAGAAAGCATCTTGGGGGCGGCACCTGTGGCTCAGTGAGTAAGGTGCCGGCCTCATATACCGAGGGTGGTGGGTTCAAACCTGGTCCTGGCCAAACTGCTACAACAAAAAATAGCTGGGTGTTGTGGTGGGCGCCTGTAGTCCCAGCTACTCGGGAGGCTGAGGCAAGAGAACCGCCTGAGCCCAGGAGTTG